GAGGAACATTTCGCCCACACCAAGACGAGAGATATTGAGGGGCGCTATGAGGTAGCTCTACCCTGGGTGCAAGACAAGGAAAGGATTCCTTAGAATAGAGACACACTGACAATTGGTTTGGAAGATTTTGAATTAATTGGACCAACCACCAAGAGAAAAGTACTTTCAATTGCGAGCAAGATATTTGATCCATTAGGAGTTGCTTGTCCTGTGACTTTAATTCCCAAGCTGATATTACAGGAAACTTGGAAACAGAAGTTGACATGGGACGAAGTCCTACCTGGATGTTTAGTACAAATATTTTGGAAGTGGTTTAGCAAACAGAAACACTTGCCTAACATAGAAATTCCTAGATGGCTCTGTTTTAAAGACTCCTATGTAGAGAAAACCACTCTCCACATCTTTTGCGACGCCAGTCAGTTTACCTATGCAACCTGTATTTTCCTCCGCATTGAAAAAGAAGATAGAGTGGACATCCAATTAATACAGGCTCGAACACGAGTAGCTCCATGGAAGAAACTCACCATCCCATGATTGGAGCTTTTGGCTTGTTGGATTGGAGCTCGTTTGGCAGCTAACGTCATACAAAATCTGGAATTTGAGGAAATTCAAAGATTTTATTGGACCGATTCGACCAATGCTCTCTGTTGGATCCAAAGGGAAGACAACTGGGCAGCCTTTGTGTGATGAACCGTCTTGAGGAAATTCATAATCTTAGCTCCCCCGAATCTTGGCGCCACATACCAGGCCGATTAAACCCGGCAGACCTCCCATCTCGGGGATGTTCAGCAGAAACACTTAAGGAGACAAGATGGTGGGAGGGACCTGCATGGTTAAAGGTATCTCAAGAAGAGTGGCCCAAATCAACCATTATCCCTGATTTGGAGATTTTTTTTATTCTGAAAGGCGCAAGACCATCCTGAACACCTTGTGTACGACAAGAGAAAATGAAAATTTATTTTAACGTTATTCCCATTTTTTGAGAATAGTACGAATTACCGCCTGGATATACAGATTCTTCAACAACGCCAAGATTGATAGAAGAAAGATAATATCAGAAGATCTCAGTACAGAAGAAATCACTAAGTCAGAAATAATACTGATGAGACTTATCCAGAGAGAATCGTTTTCAGGGCATGAAGATAAGAAACTACAAGGCTTTAAGTTGCTAGTAGACTCTTCAGGGATTTTGAGAATAAAAACTAAAATTTGCAGAAGAGAAGATTTATTGCCCTCAGATCACTTCTTGGTCTCTTTGCTCATCAGGTGGAAACATGAAACCCACAGGCACGCCGGTCTACAAACGCTCCTCGGTATTCTGAGAGAAAACTATTGGATACTAAGATCCAGGAAAACCGTCAAGAAGATCATCAATCAATACATTCGCTGTAAACGATTCACCGCGACACCAGCTACCGTTGAATCAACATCATTACCAGAAGACAGAGTACGAGATGCTGCAGTTTTCGAAATAGTAGGAGTTGATCTAACTGGGCATCTTAAAGAATAAGAAGAAAGCATGGATTGTCATCTTCACATGTGCAGTGTATAGAGGAGTTCATCTGGAACTTGTGACATCTTTGTCTGTGGAAGCCTTCCTCCAAGCTTTCCGCCGATTTATTGCTCGAAGAGGCCGACCATTGATTGTGTATTCGGATAATGGGACTAATTTCAAAGGCATGGCTAATACTTTAAAGAAGATTGATTTTTCGAGATTAAAATGTGATCCCACATTGAAAAACATCACCTGGAAATTCATACCGCCTGGTGCTCCTTGGTGGGGTGGATGGTGGGAGCGTTTGATTGGAATGATGGAACAATTGCTCTTTAGGATTCTCGGTCAAACCTCCTTGGAATATGTACAACTTTCCACGGTAATGTGTGACGTCGAAAGCTTGATGAACACACGCCCCCTGACCTACCTAACTGAAGAAAGTGAGGATCTCGCTCCATTGACACCTAAAATTTGACTCTACAATTTAGAGATAACGCCCGAGATAAGATGTCGAGATCCTCTAGTGGAGCGATCTCCCACACAAGAAGTTCGATTGACAACTAAAGAGGACCCTTTGATTTCACAACAAGAGCAACATCACATTGAAACCCTAATGTTGTGTCAAGTTATAGACGGCCCGGCCCATCAAGAGACCCAACCGATTGGATATACTGAACTTTTCCTTTCCATGTTTGAGTCGTCGAGGCGCCAACTCAAAGGTGGGAGAAATGTTGGAAAAGAAGGAGTTCGCAGCAGCCAATGGGAGGCCGACGGAAGGGGGCTAAGGGATCGGTTGAAATGGGAGGAACAAGGAAATAAGGAAGAACTTGTAAACAACTTTGGAACGCGAGAATTTGCCCTGATCCCCGATTCTTTTAGTGTAAATATTTAATTATATAATGAATTAAATAATACTTTACTTATTTTCTTAATTTATAATAAATATAATTTTCCCTCCTTTTTTCGTCATACATTTTAAAAGTGTTATGAACAGCGACACCACAATTTTGAACCTTCAACCCGGTCGACCAAGAATAGAGGTGAGTGACTACCTCTATAGAACTTAGATCGTCGTCACAACACAGAGTGGCGGTGAAACGCAATACCTCCATTTCTCAAATTATCAAGTTTATGCTTAAAGGGACTAATTTATTTAAATTTTATGTATAAAGCTTTTATTTATAGCTGTATTGTTAACTTATTCATTTGATTTACATTTTAAAAAAATTAAAGACAATTTCCTGCTTTGGGCTAGACAAACATAATTTATGACAAAATTTATGAACAATAAAATAAATAAAGGAAATACACTGTAATCCTGCCTTCAAAACCTTAGAACAATTTCCAATGGAGTTTTTATGTAATATCTGATGGTGTTGGATGATTTTTTTTCAAAAAGAAAAAGTAGCACACAAGATGGAGATTTCAAAGCAGTGCCTAATGCCACCATCTCATACTACTACTAGGGTTTCTCCTTCTCTCTCTCTCTATCATTAAAATTGTTAAAATAAAAAATATATAATGAGAAAATAGAAAGTATTGTTTTATCTCTAATTCTTCCATAGTGTTCTTTCTCACTTGCAAGAGATTATATAAATTTTGATGACCATGATCTGAATTTCTAATTGGTGATGGCATCTGAAGATGCTGAGTGAAAAAAAAAAAAAAACACTAAACATTAAATCGATAATAACCGCATAATATAAATAAATAAAAATTAAAAGTATTGATTTAGCTCGTATAGTTTGAACATTTTATGTGTTTATAAAATTTTCAGATGCTAGCAATCTAAAATTTGAATTGAATTATGTCTTACACTCTGTATTCATTTGATATACAGCAGAAATTATAGATTTCTAAAAGGTAAAAAATCAAAATGGATTAAAATTATTTGTTTCGTCTTAAAATAACACTTTTTATGAATGAAATAATAAAAGTATAAGTTTTTTTAAGGTGTCTATTAACAATATATTTTAATTTGAAAATTTAAAATTTTGAGGCATTTAAAAAATATATACTTTATTTTAACCTGACGCATTAGCGCGCCATTTATTTCAAACCTCTAATTTATTTACTGGCAAATGTTTGTAAAAATCAAGTTACATTTTGAATTTATTTTGAAAAGAGGTCTCGATAGAAATTAATTAATTTGATTTTTTTTAAATTTCATTTTGTTATTATTCGATATAACCTCCATTCATATACCAGGTTTTGGGAATAAATGGCATAAAATAATATATAAAATCAAATTCGTTTGAAAAATAGAGATATTGCCCGTGATTTCGACATAATTACCTTTTAGTGACGCAGGTTTCTTTGAATAACGTATTTTTGATAATCTGGCAACATTGCTTTAATGGTTTGCTTTGTCAACTGTTTAAATTTTATTTAAATAAAAAAACAAAAAAATAAACTTTTAAACAATTGTAAATAAAAAGTTTAATATATTCCCTGTATATATATTAACAATGTCGGCGCTTTTTGCTTGTGCTAAATGTATGGGACGCTTCCCTTTTGAGCAACTCTCAAAAGGTCAACATCTTTGCAGGGTAAATAGATTTGTTTATTTTGTTAATTTTGAGAAAATCCCATTTATCATCACATTGTTAATCTTGTCGCCATTTAACTTTTCATGTCCATTACCTACGAGTGGACTTTTGAAAGGCTTATATTTTTTATCATATTTAGGAATTTCAAACTAAACCTAACATGTTTACCATCAAATGTGTCATCTGATCAAATATATTTATTTTTCGAACATGACACACTTTTAAAAAATATATAATAATCGAAAACTATAAATTAATTCAAACAAGTAATCTAACTTCATTTGAAATATTTTTGCAATTTCAATATTTGTATATTTCATTCTGATATTCCAAGATGCTTAGACAATTCAAATACATTTGACTTCATTTAGTGTCAAGTTTAAATTTGTTAATTTATAGTAATTACAAATTTGACACGTTAACTTTTGAAGACAATTTCTCTATAAGCAATTATTTGCAATAAAATTTATTATCAAAGATGATTTTTTATAAACACTTTAATTTTGAATGTTACAATATTTATACTTGGCATCATTGGGAGGTCTAAAGATGAGATGTCAGATTTTTTCACCTACTATTTGTGATGCCACTGATGACATATAAAATCAGGAGTTATAATTTTACTTTTATTTAGTCATCTTCTTTCTTATCTCCACCCAACCATATGCTGGAGGGTCTGTGGACGAGTGATCTAAACCATTAGTTTTTGACCATTTGACCTGGGATTGAATCTCGCATTGGACACTTTTTTTCTAATTAGACCCTAATTGGCCCCTGAAATACGTAAAAATACCGCCCCGTTTGTTGCCACTACATTTGCATATTTCCCAGTCGCCGTACACGTCACTTGTCTGCTATGTAACAAGTCATTAGGTTTGATAACAGTGGCTGATGTACACATCTTCCCTCTTCATCCACACACATTTCCATCCCCATACATACCTCTTTCTACCAATGTCTTCGGTCTATCCCCTAGTGGACATGGCATCTGCCCGGTAAGCGGAACATTGTGGGTTCGATTCCCATCCCTGGACACTTTTATTTTTCCGTTCATCATTACTCTTCATAATTCACCCTTTCATACCTCATCCAAAAAAGGTTAGAAATAGTCAATATTTCACCTTGAAATAAAATTTTGATTTTTCATTGAAAAGAAACTCATGCGGTGTAACTTCAAGTGTCGCATTCAGTCTATATATTTAAAAAAGTCCAACACCACCAGCAAGTACAAATAACCAAACGGGGGCTCTGGGTATTTGTAAATGCAAAAGTCGAACAGCTTTTCACATATGTAGACCTGTGGTGCACTTTGAATAAAAGTATTCCCTAACTTCTAACCACCATGATTATCATGTTATAAGGATAATCAAAAAAAGTAATAAAGGGAATTAAGTCTGTAGAGCTTGAGGTGGTGTCTGCTGGGGAAGAGTAGAGCTCACCAATGGATGAGTCAATACAGTCAATAATGTGTTTTGCACTTAATAAATATGCTTAATATTAACATTCAGTCTATATTACAATATAATACACTGCGGCCTGTGATTGCAAAACGACACTTGAAGTTACACCGCATGAGTTTCTTTTCAATGAAAAATCAAAATTTTATTTCAAGGTGAAATATTGACTATTTCTTACCTTTTTTGGATGAGGTATGAAATAGTCAATATTTCACCTTGAAATAAAATTTTGATTTTTCATTGAAAAGAAACTCATGCGGTGTAACTTCAAGTGTCGTTTTGCAATCACAGGCCGCAGGGTATTATATTGTATTATAAGTTACTTTATGTATCATTTACGAACGGAAAAATACGTCCAGGGTAGCCTAGTGGACATGGCATCTGCCCGGTAAGCGGAACATTGTGGGTTCGATTCCCATCCCTGGACACTTTTATTTTTCCGTTCATCATTACTCTTCATAATTCACCCTTTCATACCTCATCCAAAAAAGGTTAGAAATAGTCAATATTTCACCTTGAAATAAAATTTTGATTTTTCATTGAAAAGAAACTCATGCGGTGTAACTTCAAGTGTCGCATTCAGTCTATATATTTAAAAAAAAATCTTTTTAATGTTTTATTATAAATGTATTTTTATAATGAAATGGCATGCTCTGAATCACACAAATGTACATTTTTAGGAGGCAACGATCAATTCTTTAGTAATAAATGTCAACTAAATGTTGATTTGAACTTTAATTCTATTGTCAAACACATTCTATTAATAAATCATGAAAAGCTAACCACATGCACATTTTGGCCTTCATCAACATGGTGCAAGCTTTTCTTTTATATTAATAAAGCTAAAAATGCAATGCCTCCTCCCTATAACATTACCTAAAATAGCACAGTTATTTAAGACTGCACACATTACAAAATATAATTCAGATCCTGAATTCTTTAAAATAGAATCTTCAAGTGATGGCATCAACATTGATATTGACTTTGGAATTCTTCAGCTCATAGGAACTTCTTAGGTCCATTGAAGTCTATCAAAAATGATAAGGCACAATTTGGATTATAGATTATAATAAAAGAAAATAAGACCTAATCCATGGATTAGGTCTTATTTTCTTTTATTATAATCTATAATTAAATTGTGCTTTAAAATATAATTTAAGTAACTACAGTACAACCTTGGTAATAAGACCAAATCCAAATAAATAAATAGCGTGTGACGTTTCGGTAACAGCATTGTTACCATCTTCAGACAAAAGTATTGAATGAGAAATTTTTTGTCTGAAATTACTTTTGTCTGAAGATGGTAACAACGCTGTTACCGAAATGTCAGACACTATTTATTTAGATTTGGTCTCATTACCTTGTGTTTATAATCTATAATCCAAATTGTGCCTTATCTACAGTACAACCATGTTTTATTCAACACAAGATACTTTGACACTTGCCGTAATTCAACCATATTTTCATGTCCTAACCTCCAGCCTATCAAATAGCAAACGTTGGACCAAATCCAAATAAATAAATAGCGTGTGACGTTTCGGTAACAGCATTGTTACCATCTTCAGACAAAAGTACTGAATGAGAAATTTTTTGTCTGAAATTACTTTTGTCTGAAGATGGTAACAACGCTGTTACCGAAACGTCAGACACTATTTATTTAGATTTGGTCTTATTACCTTGTGTTTATAATCTATAATCCAAATTGTGCCTTATCTACAGTACAACCATGTTTTATCCAACACAAGATACTTTGACACTTGCCGTAATTCAACCAT